TATATGTGTTTCAAGGTAAGGTTATGAGTGAGAATGAATGTAATCCGCAACGTATTACTAAAGATGTTAATGGATGAGATTGACATATTAATTGGCATGTATTCAATATTAAGAGCAAATGAGAAGGAAAAACACGCTTGAAATTTTAAATTTCCTAATAAACCGTTGCACAATGGAACAGCTTTTACTAATTAATAGATAATCTTATGTCCTAACTTTTTTTCCAATTCCTGTTAGGGTAACAGTTAAGTTCCGAACATTTAATTTATCATTAAGTGCTCTCAAACAGGAACTTTAATAGTATCCATATTATCGTTTTACCAATACACTTTATTTTCATAAAGGTAAAATGAAGTATTGTCATTCCTCGGAAAGAGGTTGTTCCCAAAACGCCGATTTTGGCCCCCCCCCCCTGGATTTGGCCCAAACTTTGCTCAGATGTTGTTCTTAAAGTCCCCGATGCTTGGGCAAAATTTCAGCCCCCTTGGATAATTAGGGGGAGGGGGCAGGGGGGCAAAGTTGCAATTTTTTCAAAACTTTGAAAATCGATATCTCGCGAACGGTTTGAGTGTAAGTGTTGCGGTTTGCGCTAAAAAACGTTAAAAAATATTCTCTACACAAATATTGATGCTGTTTGCATGGTTGCGTAATTTATCGTAGTTATAAATCGATTTTTCCGATTTTGAAGGTTCGACTTTTTTTCGTTTTTCGTCTCTCCTCTCCAGGCGATTGTTGCTATGTGAATAAAAACCAGTTGAGGTGATTCTCCATGAAATTCTGCATCTACCACACTTTGTTTGACCTTGGGGAAACGATTCATTCTTGAGTTAAAGCGATTTTTCTGCGCGTTCCCGGTTACGCGCGGGCGGCATATCGGCGGCGCTCCATCCCCCCCGGGCGAGGCAGAGGTTGTTTCACTGCTAGGGCCTTATATTCATGCTGTAGGCTGTAATTATTGATATTTTCTCCTTCCCCCACCCTTCCCCACCTATAGATATGTTATTTATACTTCGTTATACAGGGTGTCCCGGACCACCCGTACCAGGTCTTTTTCTCGGTTGGTTTAGGTAGTACGAAGTGGGGGACCGCGGGGTTAAACAGGGAATTGACCCCAAGGTATCCGAATTTCATGGTCCCGTAGCCCCCTACCCTCCCTTGGGGGGTAAAAGAGGGAGGCACAATGTCTCCCGACCTTAGGGATCGTGACCCCCTCTTTACTCCCCAAGGGCGGCATGGAAAGTTTCGGGACCATGAAATTCGGATACCTTGGGGTCAATTCCCTGTTTAACCCCGCGGTCCCCCACTTCGTACTACCTAAACCAACCGAGAAAAAGACCTGGTACGGGTGGTCCGGGACACCCTGTATAACGAAGTATAAATAACATATCTATAGGTGGGGAAGGGTGGGGGAAGGAGAAAATATCAATAATTACAGCCTACAGCATGAATATAAGGCCCTAGCAGTGAAACAACCTCTGCCTCGCCCGGGGGGGATGGAGCGCCGCCGATATGCCGCCCGCGCGTAACCGGGAACGCGCAGAAAAATCGCTATAACTCAAGAATGAATCGTTTCCCCAAGGTCAAACAAAGTGTGGTAGATGCAGAATTTCATGGAGAATCACCTCAACTGGTTTTTATTCACATAGCAACAATCGCCTGGAGAGGAGAGACGAAAAACGAAAAAAAGTCGAACCTTCAAAATCGGAAAAATCGATTTATAACTACGATAAATTACGCAACCATGCAAACAGCATCAATATTTGTGTAGAGAATATTTTTTAACGTTTTTTAGCGCAAACCGCAACACTTACACTCAAACCGTTCGCGAGATATCGATTTTCAAAGTTTTGAAAAAATTGCAACTTTGCCCCCCTGCCCCCTCCCCCTAATTATCCAAGGGGGCTGAAATTTTGCCCAAGCATCGGGGACTTTTAGAACAACATCTGAGCAAAGTTTGGGCCAAATCCAGGGGGGGGGGGGCCAAAATCGGCGTTTTGGGAACAACCTCTTTTAGCAATTAATTTCTTTCGCTCAATGCACCTGACGTTTTTCCTCTCAAGACTTAGTGTGAAATGAAACCATTTTTAAAGGGCAGCACTTTTGAAGTAAAACATGAAAATTCTCAAGGAATTATTTGAATTTTCATACCACCGGTCAGAACCGATCTCACATCCTCCGTTTTCGAAGCGAGAGACTCTACCAACTAGGCTACTGCTTCGAGTAGGTAGGCGCACTGAAACAGTTGCTCTTAAACACAAGTTACCTGAGTTGCGCGCGCAGCGCACTGCGCACGCACTCTCCCCATGCGACTCTGTAATCTGACGCCAAACCCAATGGTACACATTCATTCTCAGCACATTTCCACCTTCTTTTTGTCAAATATCTCCTAATGGCGCGAGGATGCGCACCCAAACTAGGAATTATCTTATTCTTAATAGTGTGACAAGTAACTGGATATAAAAATCTCGGTGAATCCGAGTGAATTTGGAAAGAAACAGCCTATGGAAGTTTTGATTTGGCACTATTTTGGAGGCTAACTTCAAAAATTGCTGTAAGTTAAAAAAGAGGATTTTAGAAAAAAATAATGGTATCCATACTTTTAGAAAGGTCAGCCATTGCCAAAACAAATTAAAAGTAACTACATGAAACGCTTTTTAATAAACACAGGAGGCCATTGAATGTAAACATTCAAAGGCAGTCTTTTGTCAGCGCCGCGTTACCCGGAGCGTTGCTGATGATTATCGTTGAAAGGGTCGACCTAATGAAGTAAAACATGACTGATTTCTTGATCAGTAAATCCTCAGGAACACATACATACCAATTTTTGCCATTTTCATTGATGCCGGTTTCCCGACTTTTTTGGCTCTAGATCGGCTGTTTTCCCCACTGTGCGACAGTGGCGATACATCGTTAACAGCCCGCCTCATCGGAGTTTTGAGAGCTCGCACTCACACTCAATGCATTGTTGCCCTGTGTGTCTGTTTGTCAGACTGCCTGGCGCGGCGGCGCGTATAATAGATGTACAAATGGCAACAGCTTATTTTCGTCAGCTCCGAAAACTTAGATCGCTATCGGTAAGAGCGCTCTCATTGTAACTTTTTCTTGACGGAACTGTTTCGGTAGCTTACGAACAACCAATAAAACAGCCCGATCCCTGTTTATGTCAGCTTGATTCAGTTGACTTCATCCCAGTAGATTAAATGTAGAGATTTAAATGAAAACGACTCAAAAAGTGTTATCTCCTGAAAGAGCATGAAATACGTTTTTTGAATGATTACGTTACTCATTTCAGAGCGGAAGAGAGAAAAAACATGGTGCATCTAAAAGTGGTACAAAAGGTTCAATTCAGATTATACAGACTTCAGTTGCTGAACCACTGAAATTTGTGAGACTATCAAAAAATAAGAAAAATGGGTGCAAGCTAAACTAGGTGGAAAAGAAAAAGGCCTGATTTGGGCATCTTTTTTTTAATTCCCTCAACAAATTTTTTTGGCTTTTTTAAAACTGTGAGTAGAAAAAGACAATAAGAGCGAATAGCAGGAATACAAAAGTAGAAACAAAAGAGTTGAATGAGCGTATCATAGTACTGAAAACCAGAAAGTCTTGACCTGATCCTGCTAAGCAGGCCCGCCACATCCCATCTCGGGCCCTAGTACCAATTTTAAGGCTCGGGCCCCCAGCACAGGGGGGGGGGTGTCCGAGGGGCCTCCCCTGGGTAATTTTTTAAATTTTAAACCTATTTGAATGCACTTTGAAGCTCCCATGATGGAGATTTTCCATCAATTTCTGCAGAATAATTACGCCTTTTTTTTATTTACTTTCAGCCTAAAATACTTCCGAAGAATTGTTGCATTCGAAACATCTGAATTTTTTTTTTTTTGGGGGGGGGGGCAGATGATACTATTTTCAATTCTAGGAGGAGAAGGGGCCAGGTCCCCCAGGACTCTCCTTTCGTACATCTATGGCAAGGGAGTGGAGCCATTGAAGTCTAGGATGCCCAGACTGGAGACTCTCAGCATCCGACGACGGAAGAAAATGATAGATAGATAGATAGAATACTTTATTTTTTATCCTGGGAAGGATTTAACAAAGGGGGTTAGGTTAAGAGATCATTTACAAACATGAGATTACTTTATAATGCTACACCTATCTCTAAGATTTGCTGGGTTTACGGTTATGTACATGAAATAGTAGCGTTCATGATAGGCAAACTTTGTTTCTTAGTTCAATTATTCATTTATTATGAACGATCTTATACCTACTCAGAATTGTCGCAAAATAATTATAAATATCTGTAAGCTGTTGCTCGTTTGAGTCTTTACTGAGAAGTAGGTTTATGTCTTTGTTAAGGTAGCAGTGTAAATAATAATATCGAGTGTTATGGTAAATGGGGCAAACAAAGAATAAGTGGTGCGCATCTTCAGGCTGTTGAGTATTACAGATTGTGCAAATTTCGTTAGGGTTAATTCTATGGTTCATCTGATTGATAGTGAGGTTAAGGGAGTTAGCAGACGGAAGAAAATGAAACGCATTTATACTAAAAATATCATTCTATACTAAAAATCTTGAAAATAGATAGAAATCCTACTAAATTATAAATCTTAAAAGAAATGAGAAAAATTCGAAAGTATGTCCCAGCGTGTTTTTGAAAAGTTATTCACCTTTTACGAAATTTTTAGGGTAAATTCTTCCTTTTTCTCTTACGAGACAAGGGTAATACGTGAATTCGTAGTGGTTTGTCACCGGCGGCACGGGCCCCAGTACCAGAGACCCAGTATCCCCCCCCCTTGTGGCAGGCCTGCTGCTAAGTGTTCCATACCATCTGTTACCTTTCCATGAAAGCATGGGAATCCATCCATGACATCCTATGAAGATCCACCCATTCATGGGAATGGAGTTACGGATGACATGGAACCCTTTTGTTGGAGGATGAGCTCCCCTCCAAATGGAGTAATGACTAAAAATAGGGTAAAATATAATTTAAATGAAAATGTTTCAAATGATTAAGATAAAACGAATAAAATATGGAAACATTAACTCAAAGAAAATAACAATAAAGTAAATTAACAAATATGATTGATTGAAGCTGGCTACTGCTGATTGAACTCTGGTTTTAATTTACTAACAGGCTGACAAAGTGGAGTAGGATAGGGCGTGGAGACAGGTGTCATTTGAGCTGGCATCCCTGAACTGGGGGACAAGGGCTGTTGCTGATTTAAATGCTGTGAGAGTGCATAGTTAAAATGTGGAGGTTGATATCCACCAATGTAATTTGGCAAGCTGAAAAACAAACAATGCAAAAAAGCAATATTAGATATAGATACTGCTCAAATCCACAAGTGAAAGAGTTCAGAGAGGTAGGATAATAACAATATAATATCTGAAAAATCGAAGAGAATGAACTTTAAATGCAGACTCTTCCTGTCAATTCTTAGTAGTTCCAAGCATTCCGTTGTCAGCCCTTGCTACTAATTTTTCATAAGCCTGAGTCTTACTATCAAAATACTCCATCAAAATGTCAAGGTCAAGTGCTATGATTGGTCCAAATCATCGAATAAGCTTATCACAACACCTGACCTTGATATTTTGATGGCTAGCTTTGACAGTAAGACACAGGCTTTAGTATGGAACTATGCTGCCGTGATCGCGAAGAGAGCGGTGAATGCTAAAATAAAGGTTTCAGATAACGGGCTTAGAAGCTTCTGACCGGAAAATTTTATCAAAAGAACCCTCCATTCTGTTTTAAATTGCCACAAATCGTCCGAAAGACTCCTAGAAGTAGTTTGGATGATTAAAAATAGACTGATTTTATTTCAATTACATAAAAAGGGTATTTTCCATTTTCATGCTAGGTTATTGTCAGGCAAGATAGCCGTAAGCGCCAAGCGTGGTTGTGTTTTGGACACACAACAAACACATTTTCAGGTTAGAGATTGGCAGAAGACAGCGGCACTTTACTTAAAAGTACTATTTTCATTGGCTCTCTGCAGGAATATTGTCTCTTACTGCTGTCTTGCCTGAACCTACGTCATTTTTTGCGCACTTACGGCTTTCTCATACGTCTCGTTTGTAAACAATGGAGATGATTTTTGCTGTTTCAACTATTTCAGTGATTTCATCTAAAAGAGATCAGACGAATTTTGAAGGAAACTCGATTTCGAAAATTTGACATTAACTGCTCTCTTCGCTATCACGGCAGTATGGGGTGAAAGTAATTTAAGTTTTCGTAGGAGGCAAAAAGTTCTCTAAAACCAAATTTTAGGCCAGTTATGTACACACATTGAGCCTCAAGGAACTTTAAAATGACGGTCAGAGGAGGCCCACCAAAAGCTCACCCTAACAGGAGATCTACTGTGATGATCCGCTAGGCTAAAAGTCTGAGTACTCAAGAAACATAACCTCGAAAAATTTTTCCTGGCACCTAAGAATTGAGTTAGAGACATGAAGATAATCCTTAAAAGCTGTACTGACAAACTGCATACATATTGTTTCTCCGAAAGTGGTGTTGTTCAACAAGAAAGAAATCAAAAATTCTGCAAAAAGTTACTTTTGCAGGCCAAAATCATCGAACTCACATATTTGCCGCGTGAGGCTAGTAAAACTGAAGTGCAAATACAGAAAAGGCTCCTGGTGGACAGTTTTGAAACTACAGCACAGTGTCCCTAAATCGACTTTTAATCAACTTTGAATGTACTTAAAAAATTCAAGTTGGAGGTAGTAGTGGGGTACTCCTTGATGGGTTTTGGAGCAATTTCGAAATAGGTTATTGGTTTCCTGGAAAAATAATCGCATTTTTGTGGTTTCGTAGGGGTAAAATGGCCAACAGGGCTTAGGGGCTGCAAATTATACCCCCCTCCCTCATCCTATCCTTAACCAATCTAAATTTTTAGTATGTTGTTACCTGGTATAAGATGCAACTTTCCTAAATTTATCATACCCAAGTAAGTTTTTTTGCCCCCCCCCCCCCCCCCGTGGCAGCGTTGCCATGTTGCGGACTCCAAATTATCGAATTCGATGATAAAATGCAGGTTCCAGGGTGGGATTTCCTCCAAAACTTTAGTAGAAATGTGCAATCTGAGAGTTTCTGATTAGAAAGGACTTATTTATACAATTTCAAATTGCAATTTTGCCAGTTTTAGGATTTAAAAATCGTCAAAAAAAGCGAAGTGACGTTGCAACTTTAGATGCTGGGTTTTTATTTCATTCAGAATCGGTTATTATGATTCTTCTACCATACTCTTTACATTACAGTACCATGGATATACAGGGTGTGACAAAAGTCCGTCCCACCCCTGCTAACTTTTGAACAAATTGAGCTAGGAAAATGAAACTTTGGGAATGTTCCTATCTCAAACTCATCGTCTTTGGGGGGGGGGGTCAAAATTTTGGTCCTCTCCTCAGGGGGGGACGGGGGCCCCGAACTTTTTTTTTTGAAATGACAACCCCTATCTTGTGATACCTCATTCGAGAGAGCATAAAAAACAAAGAATTTTGGCGCAAACTGCAGATCAATATCTTAATTTTTGACCGAGTTATGATGGATCAAAGGTCAAATTTGACCTATTTTCAAAAAATCATAACTCCGGTTCAAATTATCGTAAAGAAAGAAATAAGACGGGAAAATTTACCAAATTGTGTTCGCTTATCAGTAAAAATTGCAGAAATCACATCGAATGAATTTTAAGGGGGGGTCCGGACCCCCAAATATGTCAATTCAAAGGTCATTCAATTTTCCCGCGAAATAAGCCTATTTCCCCTAGATTTGCCTCCACATTATCTCAGTAAGGTCAAAATCAATTCAACAATACGTTGGCAAGTCTCCAAATTTCGTTTAAAAAAAAAACCCAAAAAGGTCAGTAAATCTGACCGTTTACATTTCGTTTTTTTTAACTTTTTCCGAAATTTGGAGACTTGCCAACGTAATATTGAACTGATTTTGACCTTACTGAGATAATGTGGAGTCAAATCTAGGGGAAATTTTCTTATTTCGCTGGAAAATTGAATGACCTTTGAATTGACGTATTTGGGGGTCCGGAACCCCCTTAAAATTCATTCAGAGTGATTTCTGCAATTTTTACTTAAAAGCGAACACAATTCGGAAAACTTTCCCGTCTTATTTTTTTCTTTACTATAATTTGAACCAAAGTTATCATTTGTTGAAAATAGGTCAAATTTGACCTTCAACCTATCATAACTCGGTCAAAAATTAAGATGTTGATCTACGGTTTGCGCCAAAATTCTTGGTTTTTTATGCTCTTTCGAATGAGGTATCACAAGATAGGAGTTGCCATTTGAAAAAAAAAGTTGGGGGCTCCCGACCCCCTGGAGATAGGAACATTCCCAAAGTATCATTTTCCTAGCTCAATTCGTTCAAAAGTTAGCAGGGGTGGGACGGACTTTTGTTACACCCTGTATAGTCGAGGCAAGAAAGCCAATAAAAGGGCCAAGGCCTAAAAAAATCCCGCGTAGCAATGTTTTCATTGACATCGATGTAATTTTTGACGCTGAATCCGAATTTTAACTTTGCACCAAAAAATTCGGTCCGGAAAGTTGCCAAATGTGGCAAAAATTGCCTAAAATGGGCGTTTTTCCGGATTATGACCTGTAACTTGCCAAAAATTGATCCGACGATAAAATTAGTTATTTTCAAAAATAAAGCTTTATAAATTTACTATAAAAAAGTTCCTATAGACTTTTTTGCTCGAGGCAAAATCAAGCGCGCTGGCAAGCTCCGAACTTTGAAAAATGAGCGAAAATTGCACACACTGTAATGTGTTGGGTTCCATATTACTTACATCAGTTCATTTTACTTGGTGTAAATTTTATCATCTTCACTTAATTTGTCCAGAAATTACTCGCCGGACGATTAAAAAAAGAGACATCGGACAAAAACCTCGAAAATCACAATTTTCTCTCATTTGTCAAAGCTCGGTGCCTGCCAGCGCGCTTGATTTTGTTCTGAGCAAAAAAGTGTAAAGGAATTTTTTATAGGAACTTTAACCAGCTTTATTATCAAAACAACTAAATTGTCGTCAGATCAATTTTGGACGAGTAACAGGCCATAATCCAGAAAGAAGGCCGATTTCAGGCCATTTTTGCCAAATTTGGCAACTTTCCGGTCTGACTTTTTTAGTGCAAAGTTGAATTTCGAATTCAGCGTCAAAAATTACATAGGAATCAATTAAAACATTGCTACCCGAGATTTTTGCAGGCTCTTTACCTTGTTTGCCTGGACTAATAATGTCGTTACTCACTTGATGGGTGCGGCTGACTCGACAGAAAAGGCCAAATGAAGCTCAGAGTCAGGGAAAAATGAGCAGTTCAGGTTGACAGAAAGTTCTTAAATCTACTCCATCAACAGAAAGTAGAATTTGAGAACTTTCTTTCACCCCAAAAACCCTAATTCCGTTACAACCAATACCTTGAAACTCAAATCTAAAATTTTCCTCTCAAATTTTGCCCCAAAACATTAAAAATTAAAACATCAATAAAATGAGTGTAAAACAACGATTCAATTAACGTTTGAAAGTCCCCTAATTCGTCCCCAAGAAGTTGATTTTCTATATTACTCAAAATCATTGCAATTTTTTATATTCTTTAAACTGTCGGATGTAACTTTCTTTACATTAAGATGTCCTCTGGATTTGACCCATCCAATTCGCTGTGAAAGGAGGACGACTTTGAGGCTTATTTTTCCCAAAGCTCCGATAACCTATTTCGAAATTGCCCAGAAACCCATCAAGGAGTACCCCACTACAACCTTCAACTTGAATTTTTGATGTGCATTATAAGTCCACCCGCGGCCACCGTGACAGTTTTTCACTTCCATTGATGCTCGCTAGGGAGCCCTCTAATCATATTGTGTTCTAAGTAAACTAGGTTTAAAGTGTGACTGCCTCCCCTATTTTTAGGTCGTACAATGATTATATGTATATTTCCTCCGGATTAGACTTTTTTGCTTCATATTTTTAAATTTAAGTTTATTAAACAAGAATAATTGAGAAATGAAATTATTCCAATAGATTCATAATGTGAGTTCGAGAATCATCTTGATATCACAGCTCTTGTTAAAACTAACGAAAGAAAACATCATTTTTGATCCCTCATCATAAGAATACACTTCAATCAAAGGGGAGGAATCAATAATAGCTCACCTCCGAGGTGGAAACGGGCCGTTATATTGTTGAGGAGGGCGGGATTGAGGGCCTTGCGGGGAGCCTGGCATTAGGGGGAAATGGGGTTGTAGGTGAGCATTAGGAGGATGCAAGTGGGGAGGCGGATGGGAATGAGGATGTGTGTGCAGATGTGGGAGAGAATGACGATGCAGAGGCTGAGAATGCTGTTGCGGATGTTGATGTGAGAGGGACAAGAACTGTGCATTTGAAGGCATGTTAGGCATTCTATTGAAATAAGGTGGTGCAAGGCCCTCAACAGGTTTTGATACTGAAGGCATCATCGGATCACGCATCATCATGTGATACAGGTTCAAAGCATCAACCAACTGTTGACTCAGCTTTGTCAGTTCCGCATGCTTCCGATCAACTTTTTCAAGCTCAGCATCTATTAGTGGCCCCATTGCATTTACTTCCTCTACATGACAAAAATGAGATAAATTAGGAAAAAAATAAACCTAATGTTGTGTCAATTTATTTAAGCTGAAAAGTTCTGGTGACAACTTCTGTTGCGAAATCTAGCTGGTTTTGTCCATTACACAGTACAAAAAACAGCATAAATGAGTGTACACAACTCAAAAATTGATCAGAAATTCATATATACCGATGAAATTCCTAGTTTCTATAATTCAAATACACGAACCTCAAAGATTATGTCCGAATGTTTACGGAATGACTACAGGTACAAATTTTCTGGCCTGCAAACATGGGGCCAAATAGCATGCCTCTCAAAGCCGAAAGGGACAGAAGTAGCAAAAACATTTCTAATCTTCTTTGAATTTTGAGTCACCCATTTGGCAAAGAGCAAAACCAATTTCTGTATCACCCTTCATCATTAGAAGAGTACATGAAATTATTTGAAGTCGAGATGGGAGCCGTAACAGACAGCACAACGCCATCTTCCGTAGAAATATGAGAGGTTAGGAAACACACTCAGTCAGCATTATACCTGTTAAGTATCTATAGAAAGACAATTACGTCCAAACTGTGTAGGTGTCATGGTACATCTAGGACTACCACTGCGCACGCCTATGTTTGACTTTTCTCGTGAATATACATACGAGTTACTCTTCATGACCTTTTCATGGTACTCCAGCTGAACTAAATGGCTATCAATCATAACACAACTTCAATTGAGATGTTTGGAGTAGATGGCACAAGAGCAATGTAATGTTTCAAAATTTCCAAATAGTCATAAAGGACCCCACACACTCCTTATGGGAAAATGCACCACGATCGATTTCTAATATTTTTTATTGTATTCAATTCATTTCCAGATGCTGATCAAAAGTCATCATTGCGCCAACTTTCTACGATGCACCGTCTGCCCACAATATGCCCGGAACGTTTCAATTATTCGGCGATAAAGATTTAAAGAGAACAAGGCATTCGAGAATAGGTCTGATAGGAATAAAGAAAAACATAATGAGTGTCTGTCTTCTTATCTATTCCTGCTTACTCTGGGGCTATCTCCTTCCCGCTCTCGTCCGTTTGACTTTCCTGTTCTTATGCTCCTCGGGAAGCAAGATTTGGATGGTCGAGCAAAACAGCGTGCAGAATCCGGAATAAGACTGCAGCTTGGTGCTGGAGTTCCCCTGATTTCCTTGTTGACACACAGCCGAACTTTCACTCGCGTGCTGAAATGAGGAATCTTTCTGACTCTTTATTGCCAAATAGTTGAAGCGTTCCGTACATATTGTGCAAAAACAGTGCATCGTAGAAAGTTGGCATAATGATTTTTGATCAGCATTTGAGATGAATTGAATGCAATAAAAAAATTAAAAATCGATCGTGGTGCACTTTCGCATAAGGAGTGTGCGGGATCCTTTATGAAGTCATATCTGTAGTAGTGTCTGGTGTCGAAAACGGCTTTTTTAATAGACGACTCTTTTTTTTTCAATTCTTGAACCTTGAGGAATGTTCGTGCAAAGTTCCTCAGATAACACAACTATCTATGCTGTTTAGGAATCTGCTGGGCAGATAGTACAGTCTGGAAGAAAATAACAAACTTCCTGAATGCCAGCGCTTCACTCTCAAACATGGTGTGAGTAACTGTATCAGAATACATTGCATATTGAAAAAGTATGTGTATGCAAGAAAAGCTAGGAAAAATTCGTATTAACACAAAAATCCTTGTCAAAAATCTATGAAAAATATACTTTGGATCAAGAGGTTTCAAGAACAGAAAGCTCATAGTATGTTTATAATAGGCAGGAATTTCACTCAGAGAACGGATCTCTTCACAATGAACAGAAGTCTACAGAAAAAGCAACGTACCTTCTAAACAAAGGATTTCTTCCGAATCAGACGTCTCACTACAGGGATCAGCTTCATGTAAAATGTGAAGTAACCTAGAAAGGTGAGGTAAGGATATTTAGTAGAAGGTGTAATTGTAAAAAAAAAAATCTTGGACAAATGTTCAAGAGTGAGATACAATCATTAAACAGTGTATGGTGTACATATTTCATGCACATTGTGGAAGCAAATTCCCTTTCTTAGATTTTTTAACATTTTGACTGAGCGCGTCAAACGTGCAAGAAAAGAACCAGGTGAAACGAATTATTTTACATGAGCGCAGCACAAGGGCTGATACATGTGAGCAAAGGAATATTCTTGTTTTTTTATGACGATGTAATAAAGCCGCACTATAATTAGTCCACGGACTGGACTTAACAGAACTTTAGTCGGAAATACAATGTACCATTTTAACAGTTGATGTATCTTAGGATTTTTGGGTCGCCGATTTCATTTTACATCTTAGTTGAACAAAATATTAACATTCTGACCGAGAAACTTTACTTTAAATGTGATTTTTGGCGCTTTTAAAACTGGAGGTTTTTTATTTCTATTCTGACAATTAAGAACCAGTATAAAAAAAATAGCTAAAATGTCTCCCGGACGAGATAACGTAATTCTTGTGTATTTTGAGGCGCTGAATCCAAATAGGACCTCTGTTTTGGTCCATCACCCTTCAATTTTCCGGAATAACCGATATTGCCCAGAAAAATAGACTTTTCTAGTGTAGGTAAAATGTTTTTGGGTACAAAATAAAAAAATTCTGATGAATTTTAAGCCGCTGAGTCCGAAAATGGCCTTTGTTTATCTGCATCACCACTCAGTTTTCCAGAAAAGCCACTTTATCTCGGGAAAATGAGCAAAGTTGACATAATTTTGTCATGCATCCAATTCATTTTGATAAATTTTCCTGGACCCTTGGAAAAGTGACTCTTGTGTATTTTAAGCTGCTAGATCGGAATTTGACCTCGGTTTTTTTTTATTATACCCTCCAGTTCTCCGGTAAAGCCAATTTTTCTGCGCCTTTTTTGTAAAGACTTTCCTGGAATCAAAAAGTTTTAATAATACATTTTAAGAATTTCCTTACGGTGTCATACATCAACTCCTGTGTATTGTGACTTGTTAAACCCGTATGTGACCTTGTTTTTCTTCTATCACCCCTCATGTTCCCGGAAAAGTCGAGTTTCCCCCTAAAATAAGCTTTTTTGGTATATTTGCGACGATGTGCTGAGATGCACTCCGAAAAAAATTAATTTCAACCGTTGGGCGACAAAAGGCGACATTTAAATTGGCATCACTTTAAACTTAAGGACATACGGAACAAGATTTTTCAATTCCCAAAGCATGAACTAGAATTTAAAAAAATGTAGAGCTTCCTGTGGATGATAATTTTCACTGATTTCTATCATTTTTCGGCGTATACTTGTAGCGTTCAAAAGCATACAAATTTTCGCTCAAAATTAATGAAACTGGGGAAAAAGGACATCACATACCATCCGGAGGATCCATGTTGCCCGAAAATTCACATAGGTGAGGCGTAACTTTGTAAAATGTTTATTTTACAAAGTTACGCCTGTGTTTACTTTGTAACATACTACTGAATACGGCCCTCCATCAGCTAAAGAAAACCTGTAGCCACTCTGTTACTAAGGCCTGTCCCAGCCTTATCAATCATCATTAGTCGATGAAAACTCAGGTGAAAATCCCTGAGAGTATGTATAAAACTGTGATGCCAAACTTTCATTTTTGGGACCTTCGAAATTTGAAGAAAGTTCCATTCCATGGTCTGTAGACCATAATGCGCTGTCATTCAAGTCCCTTGAAAAACTTAAAGAGAAAACATATTCTGGAGATTCATAAGTCGCTCCTTCGTTTGCCATTTTGTTGATTACTGAAAAGAGCCTTACCTGGTTCCTTCCCTATGGTCTTTGAATGACATTATTTAAATGACTCAAATTCTATTACAGTGCGATTGTAATGTACTTAGCTGATTCTGATTACTACATAACTAAATATTTGACACTATTTCATGTTTCAATTCATGTTGAAATTATAAATGAAGAGATTATGATTGTTATTATGATTAATATAATTATAATCATTATTCAGTTGACTACTGTGCACCCGCAAGTGCTGGGTTGCTTTAGGCTTTCACACAGGGGCGAACAATGCTCCTGGGTGTGAGGACTGTTTTTAGTTTGGATGGCCGGTTAGTGGTAGTTTCACTCCCACTGGGGAAGTGGCTCGTCACAGCCTAGGATACCTATTTTGAGGAACCAGGGCAGGGAGGTTGTCTGAAAGACGCCTGCCTAGGAGGTTCCTATCCTTCGATGACCAGGGATGGGGGTGCTTATGGTGTGGGGGAGCATTATAGGTGTACTTGTGCTGTTCCACTTTGTCGAGGACCTTCTGGAGGATTCTGGCAGTGCCTAACACAGCAGACTTCTGGGCTAATACTAGCAAATGCTTCCCAGGAATTTCGTTCTTCAGTTTACTCCAGTCTTTGGAAACTGCTCCAGTGGCTCCGATCACAAACGGAATGACTCTGGTTTTGGTCTTCCACATTCTGTTGATTTCGATTTCTACATCTTTGTATTGTAGTTTCTTCTCAGCTTTCTTTTTTGCAATGTTCCTGTCTGCTGGAATAGAAACGTCAATCAGTAGACATGTTTGCCCCTTCCTACGTAGAATGATGTCCGGTCTTATTGCATCAACAGCTCTATCGGTTCTAATAGGGAAGTTCCACAGGATCGTTGTCTCTCCATTTCTGGTTGTTGCAGTGTTTTTCGGTTTGTGTTCATACCAATTACCTGCGTCGACTTCGATTCCATATTCTTTGCAGAGGGAGTAGTGAAGTTGGGTGCATACTCTGCCGTGTCTCTCGATATAGTCCTTTTGAGCTAGAATTGGGCAACCTGATACAATGTGCTCAATAGTTTCTTTCGAACTGATGGCACATTCTACATTTACTGTTCACAAGTTTCTTGTGGCTTTTCCCCTCCCGGTACCTAGTGTGACCTTGATCGGCTTGATCTTGTGCCGCTACAATCAGGCTCTCTATTTCTGCTTTTAGTACACCTTTACTGAGCCACACGGTTGGGAGGTTACTCTCCATAGAGGCATTTTCTAGCATCAACAGATACTGTCCATACATGATCTGCCCTTTCCAGTTGGTTCTGATGCATTCAGAGATTTGCTTTTTGATTTTTTGCCTCCTCCTGTTCTTAAAGGCTAATTCAAAGTTTCCCCCAAGCTTGGTTTCAAATTTGTTTGCTTCTTTCGCTATATGATGTTTCTGTAGGGTAAGATTGACGGCATACATGGCTTTAAGAAAAGGGTCTTCGTTCTTTTATTCTTGGAGGTAGTACTTTGCGTTGATGATCAAAGATTTGTACGTTGATGCTATTTGCCGAAGTCCTCGGCCTCCTAATTATCTGCTAACACATAGCATGTCGACATCTGCGGATGGATGAGGCATTTTATGCATTGTCAAGTACTTTCTCGTTTTTATGTCTAAAGCTTTTATTTCGTTTATAAAGAAGAATAATAAATAATTTCTGTTTTTTATCGTTTTTTTCTTTCAAATTTTTATAGTTTCCGACTGAAACAAGTTTGACTCAGTTTTGAGTCGAAACATCTCGGATTTTGTTACTTGTGTAATTTTAGCCTTGTTTCCCGTTTTTTCCTCCTTGTTTTTCCTCTTAGTTGGATGACTGTCGACCAATGCTCCATCATGTTCTTACAGGCGTTTACTATATTTAGGTGCACTCCCATGAGTTCCAGTGCACGGGTGATCTAGCTGTGGGGCATGCTGTCGAAGGCTTTTTGGTAGTCAAGTCATGCAATCGATAGGTTCTTCTTGTTCTTCCTGCAATCATCGATGATGGTTTTCGATATTAAGAGTTGATCTAGGCAGCCTTTAGCTCTCTTGCAGCATCCTTCCTGCTCTAGTGGGATTAGTTTTGCACTTTCTAAACATCTGTAAGTTTTTAGGTTATAAGCGCTGTGTAGGTTTTGTACATTATGTTGAGGCAAGTTATGGGCCTATAGTTTTTAGAATTTGCAGTATCTCTATTATTTGCTATCAGGTATGTAGTCCCTTTGGCTAACCAAGGTGGGAATTCTTTCCCGTTAAGTAGTTTCTTATACTCGACTGTTAGGTACTCATAGATGCTAGGAATTTTTTTGAATCAAAAGCTTTGTATCTTATCTGGACCAGGAGCTTTCCAGTTTGCAAGGTTTTTAATGGTAGTTGTTAGTTCACCTGCTTTGAGATCTGTCCATTCCATTGTGTTGTTCGTGACCTCTGAGTCTTTAATCCATCCAGCTTCCGAGTTGTGCCGAGTAGGTACTTGATCGTATATTCCTTTCCAGAACTCTTCCACCTCTTTTTTCTGCGGGGTTCCACCGATGTCAGAGAAGTCACCTTTGATGTTCCTGCAGAATCTTTTGCAGTTGCTTTCGAAGCTTCTGTTGTGAAAGAACTGATTTGATCTTTTCTGGTATCTTCTTACCCTTTGGTTAAAAACAGCTAGGTGTTGCCTTAAGTGCTCCATTACTCTGTCTATACTGTTTTCTTCTCCTTCCGTGGTGTATTTGTCCAAGGTTAATTGGACTTTGTTGACTTGAGTCGTCTGCTGTTCTTTTCCTTTGCTCGTTATTTTGAAATTAGCTAGCACTGAGGGGTTCCTCCTCAGATCTTGGATTCTGAACTCGATTATTTTTTGCCATAGGAGCTTATTTTCTTTCTTGTTCATTTTAGTTCCTTTAGGGCCGTTCGCCTCATCGCTGATTGTGAGTGCTGCAGCGTAAAGCAAGCAGTTGATTTTCCACAAGTCAAGATTTTCTTCGCTTTTGAGCATTTTTTGTAGGTTTTTAAAGGTTGGTTCGCATGATGATTTCTTCCTCTTTTTTCGCCCGTTTATTTTCCTCATCGGCTCTCTGTCTTCCAGACTCATCTTAAGAACTCTTTGATACACACTCCTTAACCTTGATATCTCTCGCGTGCTCACCTTGTTCTGTTCTTGAAGAGTTATTACGTGTTCCGGTTCTGGGGTTGGTATTCTTGGCTGCATACTCCTTGGGGTTTCGTTGGGTCGAGAAGTGGTTGGCGTTGGTTCCGCTTTTCTTAGATTTATTGAATCATTTCGCCTCGGCGGGTGATGCTCATCGTTTGTGGTATCACCTGATGTGCTTTCAGTAGTGTGTTAGTGAGTTAGTGCTCCTACAGTGGCACGAACATAGTCTTTAATTTTCTGGAGCTGTTGTTCGGTTAGTTTTTTCTTGTTCTTGATGTATCTCTGCTGCTTGGCTAACTTCTTAGCGTTGAGATGTAGGCGGGCATTAGGGTTTTGTTCCCTCCATAGCTTGTAGGTGGTTTTAATGTTGTGGATGCCTGTGCTTTCTTTAATAAAGTAGTGGCACCATTTGACTTTTTTGTATTCCTCTTCGCTCCATTATACTCTCCGGATAAGGTTGGCTGCATTATTTCTAGTGGTACGGGAGTTTTCATTGTTAATGTTGTTCTGGGTGTGTATCATCCTTTTGGTGTGGTTCAAAGTGTATTGCTAGGTCTGCAGCCACATCGGCTTTGATTTCTTCAATTTGTACCTCACTTAGTTTTTTATGTTTCTCGATAAATCGTCTTTGTGTGGCGATTTGTGTGTTATTTGATAGCTGCTAAGCTTTCTTCTCTGTTTTTTGAAGAATTTTTTGATTTTCAAAGTTCGTCTTCTATAACAAAGGTCCCAAATTATCTTTCCACCCATATACTGCCCGATCCCCCCTCTAAATCTTCCCCTCCTCTCTCTGGTCCCCTCTGATGTAGGTGTCATTATAAACGCATTTTTAATTCTTTTTTGAGAATTTGATGAAGTTAAATTGAAGGAACATGATCTCTAGAAGTATACTTGAATTTGTGAGGAAGGGGGGGGGGGCAACCTTACCCACCCCTCCTCCTTCTGGTAGCAAATTTTGGATATTGCAGTGAATTATAAGAAAAACGCGGAACAAAATTTCTTGTGCAGTTTCTGATGGTTATTCTGAGGTTTAGCTGTAATTGTTGTAGCTGAGAAGTGGTCATGGAGGTAATATACTGTCTAAGAACTGTCAAAGCACCTTGCAATGTTTACTTACAACTAAAAGGTAACGCTACCACTTCACAGCTATAACAATTACAGCAAAACCTCAGAATAACCACCAGAAACTTCACAAGAAATTTTATCCCGTGTTTTTCTTAGAATTCACTGCAATATCCAAAATTTACTCTAAATTGTCAAAAAATTTGAAGTAATGTAGAAGTCTTCGATAAATGACAAAAATAAATTTTAGACTTTTATTTGCCTTTCACAAAATTAAAAAAAATAAACCTTCAAAGTGCAAAACTTTAAGAGAAACAAATCGGGAAGTACTAATTTTTTCGGCTACCGGAAGGAGGAGGGGGAGGAGGGGTGGGTAAGGTTGCCCCCCCCCTCCCTCACGAATTCGAGTATACTTCTAGGGATCATGTTTCTTCAATTTAACTTCATCAAATTTTCAAAAAAGAATTAAAAATGTGTTTAAAGTGTGATTAAAATGTGTGAACACCCCCCAAAATGCCTCAAATTCAAAATGGCGCCTAAAATAAGGCCTCCCAAATATCGGTATTTTCACTTGTGCGTATCCTGTCATGTGAGGTATCATTTTCCATGTAAGAGGTTGTCCCATTTTCCATTAGAAATGGCCGCAAGAGCTTTTCCATCCATACTTTCAGGAATCATAACGCATCATCGAAGAGGTCTAAATCCGGTGTCATTTCTCGTCTAGCCCCCCCTCCCCCCGCAGGGCCTCTTTTAGGCGCAGATTTTATTTTTGAAGCCAAAACCACAAAAGCCATTTTGAATAAACCCTTAGACAACTATTTCAAAATAGCAGCAAATGCTCATCAGATGTGTATATCAAAACCTCAGGTTTAAAGACCTAAAAAATGAAGCACAAAAAAAAAAAAATAACTGTATGCCCGGAATCTCAGTTAATTTTACCAGGCGCCTGAACTATCAAGTGACTCCAGTAGAAAAAGGAGGGGCCAGGGGCTTTGGGGTGATAAAATTCAAATTTCTTGGGATCAATACTCAATTCAACTTCACAATTCCCAGGTTTTATCTGACCTAAAATGAACAAGAAAAAAGCTTCCTACAGTTCGTCTGAGACACCTAGTATTTGGGAACACCTGGTATTTGGGAACACCTGCAAGTGTTCCTTCCCAAGTTGAAAAGGGATAAAAAAAAAATTCATCCAAATAAATATATTATGAATTATCGGAGATGTTCTATCAATTTTTCATTCTGAATTTATATCTTCAGGATTTCACCAACACATTCACAAAAAGAGAAAATGAATAGTTTATTTAATAGTATTTAAATAGCTTAAAATATGCACAGAAAAAGGAGGAATAAGAGTATAGAATGTATAGATAATACCTGTCAATTTTAGCTTCATTAATTTCAACAAGTGCTCGTAGTTTCACAACTCTTACAGTTTCATCAAATGAGACTTTTTGTTTTGATGACTCCATTTCTAGAAGAGAAATAAAATTTCAAAGTTCACTGATACAGCAGAAAACAACAGTTTAATGGATTCATACACTCATTTAAACACAGCAGTACAGGGTAGTGTTGGGTTCTAACACAGTTACAACCAACTCTTAAGCCAACATTAAAACTCTTGGATTTAAATCCGTCGCAGTTGGGTACCTTTTCGTACCAACAGTGTTGCGAACGTTAACAACGGCGAAAAAAACGATATTTTCCTGTACTCAGTTCTTGGAAAATTCCTCCTGGTTGATGCGAAAGATAAACCCTGTCAAAATACACGAATTTTAAGAATGGATATGATTTCTTAGATATTCGATACCTCATGGTCATAGTTGACGTCGTCAAATTCAAGGCAAGAAACAACAAATAGGTTCCAGTCTTTGGTGTTCGTGAGAGAACAGTGTCCGACAAGAAAAAATATACAGTTTACCCCATTAAACTTGCTGTGGAGAGGGAGGAGCACACCGATCTATGCATTTCCACAGCAACACCTCTTACATACCACCATTGTTACATCCTAAACTTGGAGAAACTGGTCTGGAAGCCATTGACAAATCATCGCGGTTGAATCTTATCTGCAATAAATGCTTTACGCATAGACAAACGATAGAAGATTTAAACAATCACAAGATACAACGCTTGGCGGTGACCAATGAAGCGTTCCTGAGTTCCTTCCCAGACAAACAATATCCATGTTTCAAGAATCACCACAAAGAAATCAGACACAACTGTGTAATTTCTGCCGACTGTTGTGGTTAACTGCTCCCAGCTAGAGTTAAAGTTTCTAAACAAGCTCTTAAAAACGTCCATAATAGGGAGATCAGCCTTTACCTTATTCCGTCAAAACTGTTTACCTAGAAAAACTAATACTATACAAGTCCAAAAACATTGCAGCCTTTTTAGTTCTTTCCGGTGCAGAGACTGGTAGCGGCCATCTGGTTGCAAGTATCATGCCCAGATATGGGATCACGGCTACTAAGCTATGCTCGAGGCTCCAGGATCTTGGGGCATGGGCATAGTATGCTATGCTGGTAGGTCAAAGGCTCCGATCCTCAGCATATCATTTTCAGCATACGGATCCCGAGATACTCAGGTAGCTGGATAGACGGAGACCCTACAGATCTTGGCATCTGCGAAGTAACTGGATCCTGAAGCAGCCCTCGACAGCTGGGTACATCGAATTTTGGCCCGACGTTCACCCTAGGAATCCCGTGCGACGGACAATAGAGACAATGCTATCAATGCAAGCATTTCAATGAAATTGCTGCAAATAGTGGCGGTAAATCTTGCCCTCAGTAGCCGGCTAGTATCTGATACCTGGTGGATATTAGCATCTCAGCATATCAATGTAGCAATCCACCATCATTTGCTCGGATTCTTCATATCGAGGGATACCAGCATACCTCTAGACCCAGCTATCAACGTATGCTGGCAGATCCGGCTACTTGGGCATCCGGCATCCTGGTGTATGCGGCATCTCAACATATGCCAAGGGTCAACCTATGCTACCATACCCTGTTCCAGTGCCACATACTGTTTGAGCATTTTAACACTCTCAAATTCTTAATGACTAAACTAAAATTACCAACATTCAATCTTCAAAGATCAGAAGTTATAAAATGATTCCATGTATAACTTGTCAAACTAGCTACGTCAACCAGACAGAACAACAGCTGAAAAAGGAGACTCAACGTCCATAGAAACAACTCAGAAGGCAATGGAACACGAAAAATTTTCAACACCTAATGGGTATTGTTTTTTATTTTGATACTGTTAATGTGCTGAGTCATAAAAGTAGGTATTTTCCTAGGTTGCTATTGGTAATGATGGAAATTTTGCGACATGAAGAGGAAATCCTAGTCTCTGTTTGTTTGTTTTCCCTCCGATCACTGCAAAAGGAAGGTGTATTCATCCTCCTGGCTCTTTTTTTCTTTCTTTTTTTTGCGGTTTTGTTTTTTGCTTTATTGCAGCCTTGTGGATCTATTTCAATGTTTTATTTCATGTGACTTTTACCATTAAAATATAACTAAGTAATGAATGAAGCTTTCAATTTTGGGCACACTTACTGGATGGTTCAGATTCAGCAGCGGTTTCAGTAGAAACAAAATTAGATGGAAAAAGACCTTCTCCATTCTGGTTGTACCCTTTCCACCAATTCGGATCCGAATCATCAAGAACAAAAACTGAAAAAATAAGAGACAAAACTTTGAGAATACATAATCTACTCGAATTGATAATGAAAAATGTAACGTTGTTCTACCATTTTGAACAGAGCTAATTTTCCCTGATAATAGGCGTCAACCATAGAAACAGCATGACCTGACTGAAATTCGCAGAGGGGGAAAGAACAGGAATGAAATGAAAGCTGCATTTAGATATTTCACTACATCCGACTCCTAAAAAGGCTAAAAGTTTAGCTGTCATGTCTGACAGCATTACTTACTAGTATTGCCACTATGGTCGTGTGTACTTTTGCCAAGACCAATCCATACAGGTCAGTCATTCCCGAGGACGAGTTTTGGTACTTTACTGCGCAGTGACGTAGTATTGAGTGCCTGCAATGTATTTCTTATGGGAGCACTCAATGCTACGTCACAATGGGTGCTGCAAGTTAGGGCCGGGCGGGGAAGTGGATTTCAAAAAAGCTGCGCAATGACTGACCTGTGTGGATTGGTCTTGATTTTTGCCTCTGTGTTCTTAGAAACTGACCGACAACTGGACTTAACTTCAGATTTTATGAGTACAGGCCAGTGGCACCCATTTATTTGAATTCATCCTCTGAGAGTGTGGAGGGAACTGTTCAAAGGAATTTCGGCAGAGTTTTTTAAACCCAAAATGGCAGAGATACCCCGTTTTGATAATGCCAAAAATGAGACCTGTTTTGAAGAGTATTTTTTGCAGGCCCTGATGGCGTATTCAAGCAAGGGAGACAGCATTTGCTGATTGGCTGAAGTTATTTTCAGTAGGGTGTCCCGAATTCGAAACATCCAAAAAATTTACTCGGATCCTCGATGTTCGATGGTTCTATTGTGTTATTATGAAAGTCCCCAAATTTGAGCGAAATCGGATGAGCCGCAACACGTTTTTAGTCGCGGCAAAAATGTTTGAGACTTGCCCTTTTAGCGTTTTGGATGCAACTTTCGAGGGCAGTTAGCAGCAATTACAGGCATCAAATTGTTTTTTATTGTGACTTTGCATAGTATACTTACAAGTAATAATCTTTGTTTTGACGTTGCAAACCTAAAAATTTTACTTCGAACCTCTTTAAATCGAAAAAAAAATTCAATTTTTCCCTCTTAAGTAACTAGTCCAGGACTTGTATGAAAATTAATGGAAAAAGTTAATAACAAGCTGATATTTGGCACAAAGAATCCTTACGACCCCCTGAGTCCCCCCAGAAAAGTCCTCATTGATAGTGTCGAGGATTTGGAATTTAGGGGGGGGGGGAGTGCCAAAAAATCGGTTTTGCCGGCCAAAACACAGGAACGGTTGCTCGTATCACTACGAACAGCACCATTTTCTGAATCTTTGTAAAATTTTGGAGCGATATGCCTCTTTACCAGTTTCCTGCAGCCACTTGTGCCTCCCAAAATTACAAAATCACTATTTCGAGGCATATTTTTGAAAATAATGGAGAATTTGCACGCAAATTGTTTATTGCTGCATCTGAAAGTGCCTTTAGAGCTGACTTTGCAGTTTTTTTTATTATTTTTTTCTGATATGGGGAATAGTATAAAAATGGATTCAAAAGCGCGAAAATGCACCGCCTAGTGATGTCATCTGGCGGCATTTGCCATTTAAACGCATGTACTTTAGCAGATTAGATCATTTTGTCATATCTTCTCCAATAATTGTTCAACATATGAATTGAGGGTATCCTCGTGTTCAGCTCACTTAGTACCGTCCACTTAAACACGGGATTCATCAAATTTCAGACACCTGCAAATTCTACATTCTGCAGGGAAAGTTTGACCAGGGCCTGTTCAACGATATATCCTGCTTTATATTGCACTCTGAGCTGTTGGTAAGAATTAATGTCAGCTCATCAGAGCCGGCCTGGAGCCGTGAGGGGCGAGGAGAACCCCCGAACATCGGTAGAAAATTTAATCGTGTAGAAGGGGTGTTCAACCTTGTTTCTCAAATCTGATCTTGCAGACTTGAATCTCTAAGAAATTGATTTAGGATTTAAGGCATAGGCTAAGTGAAAAAATAAACCAAGGGCGGGGGGGGGGGGGGGGATTGCCACCTTCAAAGTGAAAAGCCCCCCCACCCCCCACCCGTCGAGAATGCCCAAGGCCTAAGCAATACGCAAGGCCAGGAAAACAGGGAGCGTAGATTATGATCGAAGGATATAATGGAGTATAATCTTGATCTTAAATATTTTGACTTGGGCTTGTTCCTACATCATTTGAAGGAGCTGTCCAAAGGGTTGATTGACTTACAAAAAATGTTGCCTTAACTTAAGTCTTCATGTCCATGTCCAGGTCAAAATATTTAAGACCATGATTATTTTCCATTATATCCTTTGATCATAATCTCCACTCCCTGTTTTCCTGGCCTTACGTATTGCTAAGGCCTTGGGCATTCTCGATGGGTGGAGGAGGGTCTTCATTAGAGGTGACCCCCCCCCCCCCCCCGCCCTTGGTTTATTTTTTCACTTAGCCTATGCTTTAAATCCTATATCAATTTCTTAGAGATTCAAGTCTGCATAATCAGTTTTGAGAAACAGGGTTGAACACCCTTGCTACACGATTAAATTTTACAACAATACAACAACGGATCATGAACTAATGGCACATTTTGTTCTTCCTAAAATGAGCCAGAAATAGCAGTTCTTCATTGAAAATTGTAGTCAACTTAGCGTCTTCAATTTCGAAATAGTGTTGTTTCAGTTTGTGATATTTATTTGTGATAAATGTAATTTTAAGTAAATGCCCTCAGCATTTTGCTGAAAACATAGAATGAGAGCTGTGTTTTTTTAATTTTATAGAGGAAAGTAAGGACATGATAAAAAATCATTTCATATAATCCACTGCACTGCAATGTGCAGAAAAATTGAGGCACCGGGTGCAAGAATGGCACTTCTTGGTTACGGTGGTTCAAAATATCTACTAATATTTCATCAGTGAAGGAAATTCATGGATTTTGTTGTTTCTACTGAGTTATTTTTCATGATTCTGCAATTTTCTGTGAAAAAAATCCTTGAAATTTACCATTAGAAACTACTCTTCTAAACAAATATGAGCGACATAGATTCTGGAACATCATTAAAAAGAGCTGCCCTTCTCGAGCGCAGCGACTTAATCACAGAGCCGCCTAAAAATGCAAAGGAATTAAGAGCAATTACTTACCCATACTTTTTGAAAATGAACAGTATCCACGATCGCCAGTCATAAACAAGTGACTGAAGTATTGATTTTGAAATTTTTGAGCAGATTAAATAACACTAAGTTGCGACTCGCAAATTAGTTTGATAATGATGCTTGAACATTATCTTTTTCAGTGGAATAATCTTAAATCTCGGTACTTTGAAACTGCCGAAATCGTTGCCCCTCTTTTTCAGCTTTTCATCAAATCTTTCTCTTAGATCAAGATGGACAATAGCTTTAAGTAACTCTCTCGTAACTTTTATATGCCTTTTTGTGTACAATACATAACACTATTCCTCGTTTTTACCCTTGATTTATATGATTGACCTCATTTTAAATCCTTTTTGTACCTTTTACAAAATTACTTCTTATCCACGCCGTCATCTTTACAAGCTGCACGCATTATAAGAACATCCGTCTGATACGCAGGTCACTTTCCTCATATTTTCAATTATGAAGCGTTTTTTCCAGTCAGCAATGACTGTAGAGAAACGAAAATTGTTCAGAATGATAGTAAATTTAATGCTATTAACATGTGGTCCTTGTAAATTTTGCCAAAAAATGAAGTGGGAACGAGTAAATTGCGAAAATCCGAGCGCGCAACTGATTTTTCTATGTACGCGCAATGCCGGCTCACGCTGCGTGGGGCTCACTCGCGAGCCCCCATCCCGCCCGCCCATCACGGAGCTCCGCCGAAACGGGCCACGCTCAGCTGACACGGCGGAGATAGGGAGCGCACGGTCTACTCTATTCAATGTCTTTGGTTTTATTATGTATCAATCTATTTTTACAATTCATTTGTTGTACTTACGATTTTATTTTATGGTAAATTAGTTATCAATGATTTGTTTCTCTTTTACTAGGGGAGGGGGGGGAGTGTAGGGTGTATCTTATTTTTGAGTTTAGCGAAAATCAAGTTGGTCAACCTCTAAAAAGTTTCTATGTAGTCTCTAAATGAACCCCCTAAAAGGAAAAAATTTTAAAAAAATTTTAACCCGTGCCTCAAAGGGCCTAAAGGGCCTAAACCCAAAATTCCAAAATTTTGGCAAGCGACACATCAATTCTGAAGGAAAATGGCAAGTTACGGCCCTGTTAGAGCAGAAATTTCGTCTGTTTTGCCGTATCTTGAAGCGTAAGGTCACAAACGGCCCAATGACGACGTGAGGCTATGGGCTGGCTGGCTGGCGCCGCGGCCGGCCCGCCGCTGAGCGTACGCGCGCGGCAGGGTTGCGCATCGCCGCTTTACACCGGCGTAGAGGAACGAACGGTGGGGTGGGAGGGGGATATCCGGTGAAAAAGCATCTACATTTTCTATCCATAATGAAAATGCATTATACTTTTTCAATATAGATGAGGAAATATGAGCCATACAAGGAAGTGATGAAAAGAGTGACAAATACATATATAGTTTGTACGGTTAGGAGTGTAAGTGGGGAAAATTTGCCGTAACTACAGAACAGCCCTGAAAATCTCCGGGAAATAAAAGCTGCTATTGATGAGAGGTTTGCATGAGAGGTTTAATTAAGTGCTAATTAAAATGATAGGTGCGATGTTGTCGAATCGTAAGCCCTTTACGCGATCAAAAGCGATTAGTGTAAATTTAATTGGAAAAGTTTAAGAAAAATTTGATGAAAGAAAATTGCCCCAAATTCGGGAAGTGCTTAAAGTGTTTTTTTATCATGTGAAGTGTTCGCACATGAATGTCAATGGCGGTGCGTCGAAAACCTCTGATCTTGTAATTCCAATATGGAATGAAAAATGTAGAATCCCTGTGATACATAGTGTCCGTGTTTTTAAAAATGTTTACATTTTTA